CTCTTAGCCAACTTTTGTGCTTTGGACAGTCAAAACAGTCTTTTTTTTTCTGTTGCATCTTGATAAACAATTAACCACCTCAAATTAAAATACAAAGAAGGCAGGGTACTTGTTCTTAATTAAGCACTTACATACAGACAAAATCTTTGGTACCCCTCGATTAATGAAAGAAAAACTCACAATGGTTACAGAAATAACTTGAATCTGACAAAAGTAATAATGAATAAAATTTTATGAAAACTAGCGAATGAAACTCAGACATTGCTTTTCAACCATGCTTCAACAGAATTAAAAAATAAAAATAAAACTCATGAAACAGGCCTTTCCTTCACTTCCTCTGGTCCATGTTGAGTGTGGTACACAGTGTCATAGTTTGGTTTCTGGTTTCTGTTTTTTATGTTATGGTTGGGTTTTTTTTTTTTTGGTTCCTGTTTTGGTTTTATTCATGTAGGTTTTCTGTCTGAGTTCCTTTTTGTCTCAGGTGTGTTCATTTTGTGTGATGAGTGTTGCCCTCATCTCCCCAGGTGTTGTCTGTTCCCTCGTTAGTTTTCTGTGTATTTAAACACAACTTCTGAATTGTAATGCTAACAGTAGCATATATGTTTAGCTGATTCTGTAAACAGAGAGATAAATGTGAAAAGAAGTGAGACTCACGTGTCTTACTGTGCATGCCTGATCAGGAAATCTGTGATCCACCTAATGGGTGTAGTAAACAAACCGTGAATGTGCATTAATCCTAAACCACTTACAGCTGGCTTGAATGAGCCACCTTGATTGAGTGCGGCTTGGTGTTAGAGCAACAGATTACAGCTGTTGACAAGTTGAAGGCTTGTTCAAGCTCAGCTTACAGCTCATATCCTGAATTTAGAAATCTGACTTTTGTGAAATAGGCTCCTGGGGGTCAGATTTATAAAGCTTGYGTACRCAAAAAACRAGCCCAGAAAYTTGCGTACGCCACTTTTCAYGCAGCGGTTGTGATTTGTAAAATCCAAACTTGATGTGAAAATGTGYGGTCCCTCAGCCAGCTCTGACCCATGCGTACGCTCATTTTGGAGACAGAAAGCTGTGACACAGATGGTGAAGTGATGAGTTAGAGCCACACTGAGTAATGATCACTGTCAGATATTTAATTTTCCTTCAGAATGAAACTTAGATTTTTATTCAGCTTTATCATCAGCTTTCTTAACAGTAATATTTATGCTTCTGCTGCTGAGCCATGAGGACCTTTGAAATAAAAAAAACTTAAATCTTAAATAGAAGTTCACGCATCTCCTTCCTCCTCAGACAACCCTGACCTACAGACCCCTCCCCGACAAGAGACATTTCAACAGCACAACAGCAAAAGTCACGTTTTGAGTAGGCCTACTCACGCAGGGCGCGCCCCTCGCCAGTTTGGATGTTATAAATTTTCACTTTTTAAAGTCCATATTTGTCACACGCGCGAGGCTGTGGGTATGTGTGAGGGGCTGAGAAGACGGTCAGCCGTAGATAACAGAGCAGGCAGGAGGGGGAGGACAGGGGAGAAGAGTTGTGAACTTATTTCTAACTTTATCTGACTTATTTCATTTTATTTATTGTTTTTATCATCCTGCAGGCTCTGAGAGAAATTAAATTTGAAGCTGAGTTTTTGAAATGTCATTAGATTACTGTAAACGTCTGTAAATCTCCAAAATGAGGGAAAATCTGTCAGTTACAGACATTCTGTTCAGGTGAGCAGCTGTCAGTCAGCACCTGTCATCATCCAGACACACGACGGAGCGCGAGTCTGAGCCAATCACTATTGTTGGCGTTGATAAGCTGATTGATTTAAATATATCTTAACATTCATGAGGTACTTTACATTGACTGTTTATGGTTTAATGTGGGCGTGTAGAGGGTAGAACCTGAGGCCAAGTACACTTCGCTGCAGCATGCAGAACGGGGCGGTGACAGACCTTTCCGTCAGTCCCATACCTTATATGGAAATGGGACTATTGCATTCCGGAAATGAAGGGGGCGCTAGTGACACTATTTTCTATCGAACACTTTCAACATTAACAATACAAATTTTACAGTAAGGAAATGGCAACGTGTTATGTCACGTGGTATGTCCCTTTTTCATTTTCAAATCTTTATTAAATC